AGACTCTTAATCTGAGGGTCCAGGGTTCGAGCCCTAAATATAAATAAAATAATGTAAATAATATAAGTAGGTGGGGATAGCTCAGTCGGTAAAGCATCAGACTTTTAATCTGAGGGTCCAGGGTTCGAGCCCTAAATATAAATAAAATAAAATAAAATAATGTAAATAACATAAGTAGGTAGGGATAGCTCAGTCGGTAAAGTATCAGACTTTTAATCTGAGGGTTCAGGGTTCGAGCCCTAAATATAAATAAAATAAAATAAAATAATGTAAATAACATAAGTAGGTGGGGATAGCTCAGTCGGTAAAGCATCAGACTCTTAATCTGAGGGTCCAGGGTTCCAGCCCCTGTTCAGGCGAAAAAGAAGAAGACATTGTCTCCTTTAGTGGAGAAGCCATCGTGGAGGTTTCAGTCGGTAAGAATCTTCTCTTAAAAGACTCTCAGGTGTCTTACGAAGATTTCCTCCACGTAAAAAAAAAAGTTATATAATTAAATAATATATTATAATTACGAATAATATAAGTTAATTATCATATTATCATCATGGTTAGAATTGAAAGCTCGATCGTTACTTCCAAGAGATACGGCCTCAATTTCCAATCGAGCAGCACGTCGAAGCCCAGTAGCTCGAAGCACGCGTAGGTCTTGTCGTGCGTTGGAAAACACGTGTGATAACTGTGCTTCAGGATAGGATACGCCGCCAGAATGGTTTTTATAATAATCTCGTCGATCTTACGCCACAGTTCATCCACGTCAACGTCTTTCATCTTGAACCACTTGTTCAACGTCGATATCTTCCTACACGCAGAGACATATTTCTTCGTCGTATCGAAGCAGCCGCGTGACAGCGACGGATTAAAAGAATACGCACCAACCTTTTGCTACCGATTTCATCGTCGATCACGTACATCCGGCTGTGCTTGTTAACGGCGTAATTCGTCAAGTGCATGAACACGTTGGACGTATTGTGACCGGTTGGCTCCTTGTATCTGCTCGTGGCGAATCTGAAACGTAATCTGGCATAAGTGAAGTGAACCAGTTCTGTTATATACGCGCATTAATCGATCTTCAGATTCTCAGATATCGAAAATCGAATTCCGATTTAACCGATTACGACCGTAAAGGATCGAAGGGAAGTAGCGAGACCTCGCGTTACCTCGCAAGGCCGTCGTTGTAAACGTAGATCCGAAGAGGGTCGCAGGAGGTGAGCAACGCGTAGATACGAAGATCGAATTTGTAGCCGTCGACCAGGAAGGGCTACAGACACGAATGATCTTTCTTCATGAAAAGAAGAGTACAAACGAACGGTTTGAAAAGTTGAAAATGCTGGGCATACCCTGGCCACGTAAACCTGGCAGATCATACGCTCGGTCGGCTTCACGTCCTTCAAGTTCTTCGTCAAGTAAATGCCACGCCCTTGACAGCCCGTGTCAGGCTTGATGATGAAAGTTTTCGAGCGCCTCAGCTTGGCGTAGGCTATCGCCTCTCCGTGGCTAGACGTGAATTTTTCGATCGACGTGAATCTGACAGGGGCTGACAACGTTTTACTTCAAATTAAAAGGACAAGGGGCGCGACGTTTCTTACTCCGCGGGGAAACACCACGTCTTCGGGAAGAAATTGTAGTCCTTTGGGAAAAGTTTCAGCATGCGATTCAAGTTCCGCGCGAGCAAGTCCTTCCTGCAGATCTCCGTCATCCCTGGGAAATGATTCACCTTCTGATACCTCTTCATGTCCTTCGCTCGTTCCACGCTCACGCTCAGGTCTGTCCAGTAGAGGTTCCAGCTGCTGTCCTCCGTCACTTCTTTCATCCCGAAACGAGCCGCCACTCGTCTCACCACGTCGTATTTGCAGTTGCTCGTGCATATCGTCAAGTATCTACAATCGAAAGTAAACGAAAGGAACACGGGAATAACAAGGGATTCCCTGCGGGCGAATTCTACCTCCGTTTCTTCTTTTTCTTCGTCTTGATCGATGTTCCATCTTTCCGCGACTCCACGTCCGTATCCACGAATGACATGTCTATCGTGACAGTATGTCGTTAGTATCGCGCATGATGCAAGAAAGGAATCTGTACCTTTGTCGTCCTTCTTGTCGGCGAAACATTCGCGGGCAATCGGTTCCCGATCATCTTTGCCACCCGTATCGATCAACGAGGTATCAGATACCACGAGCTTCTTGCACCGGTTCCTGTACACTGTTTTACATGATCGCACCTCGGTACTGCAATCGGATTCACTGCTGGCCTCGCCGTTTATCCGGAAATCCTTCTTCGCGTCGCTGGCTTCGATCTCGGCCACCACCATCAAAGGACGTTTGTTGACGCTGCGCTCGATGACGTTCATGACCGGCGTGTCATTATTCCGAACGATCGGTCGGTCGCATGGCTTTGACTCGAG